GTTTTATTCCTTTTGTTTTGCAAACTTTTGCCGTCTTTCTAAATTCAATAAATGAGATTTTTCTCACACCACTGAGAGCTGTAGGAGGACCAAACCTGCTCAGTGGCTTTCAGGTTATGGAGTAGAGTCACTTCTTCCCCTGAATGACAGCAGAGGTTGCCAGCTTTACATCACTGTTATACCACATGGCTAAAGGTTTACCATCCTTATCCAAGACTAAAGAAAGGAACTTAAAATAGCCATATAAATAACGTAAGCATAGAAATTCATATAATTTGATGCTCACAAAAAACATAAGCATGTTAAGGAAACTACCTAGTCTGACCATTCATGAGACTCTCTGGCAGTCACGCTCCCAAGGCCAGAGACTGCCATTGCTGGGGCCGAAGCCCCTTCACAGGGCACGGCTCCAGTGACCTGACGGTGCCCGGCTTGACTCCCCACACACCCCACTCACACAGTCAGACCAGGTTTCCTTACTGGTTCAACCCCAGGTCTCCCATGGCAGTCTCAGATATCTCGTTCCACAAAGCCATTTATTCACAGCACAGTAACACAGAAACAGTCCAAGCTTCTGCCTCCAAGGAGGACCCCCAACCAAGAAACTCCTGGGCTTTTATACCCTTACAGTCTACCCATGCACAAGTCTTGCTCTTCCTCTCTGTGTCCCTCCCCCTCACTGGGTCACCAGTCTTCCTCTCCTTTGTTACCTAAAAGGTCGGCAATTCCTGGCTCCTGCTGTGTCTCTCAGTGTCCATCCACCTGGCTGGCTTCACCCATCTTCATGCCCTTTGTTATCCCAAATGTTGGCAGTTCACAGCCATGTGTCTTGGGCTCCCACCCAGAGCTCAATCTGTCTGCAAGCAAAGCCACCTGGACCAGATGTCTTCCTCAACAAGCAGCAGATTTAAGAAGAATTGGAATGAGATGGCTTATGTGTTACACTCGCAAAGTCAGAACTGAAAGAACGAGGGTGGAGGGTATAATTGCCGACAAGTATCACATTTCAAATGTTATCTTAAATTGGTGTAAGCTTTTTTTAAAAAAAAGAAAAAAAGAGGTAAAAAAAATGGGGAAGGAAAAAATGAAAAAGGGAAAAAGAGTCAGGGAAGAAAAAATGGGAGAAGAAAAAGGGAGGAGAAAAAAGGGGAAAACAAAAAAGAGAGGGGAGGGGGGAAACCACACCTAAAAATATCTTCAGTTTTTTCCCAAGGTACTCTACAAGTTTTTGTTTATCTGAGCAAGCCACAAATGTAAGCCTCTGTATCTGCATGCCAATTACAGCCCAGTTACTGAGAATCCAGGTACGCTATGAATCAGCGCCAGCACGAAGCTTGCCCAAACAGAGCTTTCTGCTCTGTAACTATGCCTCACGTTGGAAGTTCTCCACCTCAGTCCAAAGTCCTGCTTTCCTTATTTCTCTCTTTTTTGAAATTTTTACACCACTCCAGCCAATCCTGTCCCCTCCCTTCGCTTCCCTGGTGGCTGGCAGCTCTGGAGAGTGGACAACACAAGTCCATGTTCAGGCCGGGATAAGGGCTGTGGTAGTCACAAATGTGTTTAAATTCACTTCTGGCTTTACTAGAGACAAAACCAGGGACTGCAGAGCCTCAAAATAATGTCAGAAGAAATCTGAAGTTGCTAAAGGCATAAAGAGATCCACGAAACACAGACAGAGCCCCCTTTTGCAGAAGAGCTGGGTGTTAAATTTAAGCACCCACTTTTTAGTATCAACTCTGAGCTGATTGTTATCAGACACTGAAAAACTCAGTTTAAGAACAAAAGTACTTCAGAATACCTGCACATCACCCTTCATTTTCTTTTTAAAATAAGGCTTTACAATCCATAAAGAAAATTACCTCACTGGGGAGGTATATGAAAAAACCCTCTCTGTTTTTAACCAGACGCCATAGGTAGCCGTGAATAATTTCTTTACAAAGTAACTGAAACCATACCCCTTTTTTTACAACTGGCATTTCATCAACCCATAATCCTCACAGATTAACACTGAAGTTCAGTTTCCACCTAACTACTCCTTTGGATTTCTTTGTACATCACAATTGACTACCTAAGACGCTGAGTTTGTGTAGGACTGCTAGAGCTTCACAAAATGTACAAAGCAAATGCTACCGAACTTCAAAATGTTGTAAAATAACTTCAGAACTGGTTAGTAATAACTGTTACTGATCTCTGAAAATGCACACCTCCGTGCTCCCTATTCAAAGTAGGGCACAGGGCATTTAAGTGCAAATTTTCTGTCCCTCCTCTGTCATTCCCCCCACCAAATGTCTCAGTGCTGCCACTTTCCTGTTCCCATGAAACAATGCCAGAACAGGTGAACCACAAAATGGCAGGCTTCGATTAACTGTTGTTTTTTCTAAATTAAACTCACCAGTCATGGCAAAGTTAAAAGAAAAAATTATAACAATAATTAAAAGAATAGTTTCAGGAATTACATTAGTTCTTTCTTCCTGTGCACCTTAAAAGCATAATTAGCCACATTGGTAAAATATACAAAGTGTAGCAAATTGTACTATCTGACAAGTTGGCTTGGAATTTCTTCTGCACAAAACATTATCCCCTGTATTTGTCACAGAAAAAAAATTTCAATATTCCATTTAGAGATAAAACTAAATTCAAAGCCAAATGCTCCAATTGATTTTGTTAATCACCCTTTACTACATGATGGTTAATCATTTAAAATTCCATAATACTGGCAACAAACTGACCATAAAATTGCCATCGCAGTTTCTTCCAGGGAAAACTGCTTTTAAAGAAGAGGGTGATAAGGCAGGTCTGCCTATGCATTATAAAAAAATTACAGCGTGAACGTTAACATAACTAAAAAGCTGGTTGCTGGCCACCTCTCAGTAGGGTTTCATGTGAAACAGATGCTGCTCTTACAGTTTTCTGAAGGTTATAATTTATACTACAGGCAAGTAATTGCCAATGTGTGACAGCTGTGCTTTTGAAGGGCTAAAGCTACATCTTATAGATGAAAAAACCTACCAGCATCCATTATTCTGCACATAGATCCCTAAAAACTAAGTGCTTCAGTATCATGAGGCCTACTGCTAATTTCCATTAGTCCAGGAGAAAAGAGAAGCTTATTGTTTTAGAGTCATAAAACAGTACTGAAAAAAACAGTAACTTAAAAAAACCTAAATCCTTCATATTAAGCAGTCATCGCTTAGTAAAGTTTAGTCATTAATGATGATGGTTTCAGTTTTGTTTTGCTGTGGAATTAGTACAGCCTTTATAATGTCTGATCCTCTCTCAAAGGCATAACATGGAAGTGACTGAAAAGACTGGTACAAACTTCAAAGAGCAAAACAAGTCATTTCACTGTTGAGACTAATTATGCCCATGAATAAAATCAAGGAAACTTTAAAGAAGGGAAGAAAAAAAAAGCAGCTGAAAAAAAGAGTAGGTGGGAAATTCCAGTTACAATTAGCCCCATTTCAGAGGCAGCCTATAGCAAGCTGTGCTTGAACTGGGTCTCTTCCACACAGCAGTCTTGCAGTTCAAGCCGGCAGCTGTAGCCACAGCCAATGCTTGTCTGCAGTGGGCAGAGAGGTGACAGGGGCCTTCTTCCCCCATGTCTTCTCCTTACCTCCTGTGGGGTGCCTTCACACCCCTGGGCCCCAGACTCTACCCCACTAGAGTCAGGCAGGATAGCACCCTGCCAGAAACCATGGGCTGAGCTACTACCAGTGCTGTCTGTCTTGTATCCTGAGCAGGAGCTTTCCAGCAGCTATGCTGGTCCCTACCCAGCCTGCATTCATCTACTTTCCAAGGAAACCCACAGCATGCACAGTAGCTAGCATGATGGAGAATGTGAAACAGATAATTAGGTAGCATCTCCTTCACAACAATAATCTCTGCAAAGTGGCAGCTCTCCATTTCTCAGGACTTTGCCTTTAAAGAAAACCAGACTGCTTCAACTACAACGGATGATAGGAACAATACTGTACTTGTCTGCCTCCAAAGTATCCCAGAAACCCTTGGACACCAACAGTTACAAGGATCACATATTTTCAGTTTCTGGCAGCAATTTGCAAACCATTCTCATGTGACCAGCAACAAAAAAAAACCTTTAAGTAGTTTTCTTAAACTCCACAAAAGTGGAGTTTCACAATTACTCATGCAAGTAAAAGTTCACACACAAGATATTATTACAGTGAATATGGATTCACAAAAACGATCCACTATGAAAATTCACACAGACACTTAAGTGGTGCTTAAGTAACACACCGAGGAAATGCCAGTTGCAGTGCGAATAATTAATATGAACAGCAAGTGAATAGTTGCCAAGAGGTCTCAAATAATGTTTGAGTATGTAAAACCTTCTTGAATAATAACCTAACTTATTTGTTTGGTCACAGTCTGTTCTCAGATAATTCACTACTAAGAAAAAAAAAGGAGCCATTTTCATCAGCAATTTACTGAGAACAGCTCATGTCAATTTACTCTGTGAGCTGTTCTTCATGTCAAGTTCTGTTGAGTTCTTGTTTTGCTTTTGGTAGTAAAAGGTTGTATCAGAATATCCCTTTGGAAATAATGTCAAAAGCATGAGTGAAACCAAAAAGCTGTCTGCATCCCTGAAGACAGTCCAGGTGTGGAGCCTAGTGGATGAATTAAGTGAGGGGCTGTTTTTTAAAAAATGTGAACTCTTTGAGCTTTTCTCTTGAGAATTGTTTTCTCTTTGGGGATACCTTTTCCAACAGAACTTACACAAAATGTGTACTTTAAGCATTAATTATTATTAGACATCCAAAATAATTACTATGCTGAGCATACTTACACCAGTAAGTCACGCTAATGTGCACATTTTATAGCTAACTGTACACCCTCAGGAAGTTAAAAGTAGTACATCTACTCAAGCTACCTATTCCAGCTTCTTGCTATACATGTTTACTTAGGAATGTACTGGCTATTAAATAAGAGCAAACTAAACCTATGAAGAGCAAAGAAAAATCTTCTTGGTACTCTGAGCAGGACCCTGCCTTAATCTCTGGATGAAGCTGATGAATGAAACTCTTCACCATTATCAGGTGTGCAACTGGGATTGCAAGCCACCTGCCAACAGTATTAATGCCATTTTCTCTGTCTCTTACAGAATTAACAGCATTCAATATAACTATTCATTTTGTTCCCTGTTGTTTTTTGTCATTAAGCTTTTTTCCACCATTAGTCACAGCCATCTTGGTGCAAAAACATGGCACAGAAAATGTTTTTATTAACAACCTGTGAGGGTTATATCATCATCTTCTATGATTTGCTCTTCTGCGACGTCCAGAGAGTTTTCAGTGATCATGTCACTAGGTTCATCCACACAGGTTAAGCCAGAGTAGTTATGTAGGAGTTCGGCACTAGGAACATGCTCCACGATGACAGCAGGGAAAATGGATGGATCACCAAGCTGGAGGATGGGGGAAAAAAATCAACAACAAAACAGTAGTTAGACCACATCCAATCTAACCACTTATTGATTAATACTTCAACAGACCTATACTACATCACTTGAATGTCAGACTGTCAGGAGAGAGTACCTGAGAACAAGATGATTTTCAGCACATGCAACCAAATAGCAGCAGTGTCCCATTACGAGACAGAGGTTGAATATCACTGAAGTATTTAATGTATTGACTTTACTCCCGTACCTAATACCAGACTTCTATGACATGATTTTACAGCATTAAAGCTGACAATACAGAGGAGTGGCACAGCGCAGTAGGTGAAAAACTTTGCTGACAATAATACTGCATGAGCAACTTGCTGCATGCACCTTCATCTTTTGCTCTTCCCATCAAGCTGGGGGTAGAGGAGGCCTGTGGCTGTCAGGACTGGATGAAGCTCTCACAGGCACCAAGTTTCCCATGAGACATTATTTGAAGTTCACTATTTTAGGACACACTTGCTAAAAGATGAAGGCGTGTAATGGGTTGATATAAGTGCTCTAGTACATTCCCTCTCTAATTCTTATGGTTTTAGTCACTTGACATTCCTCACACCACACCCTCCTCGCCACTTTCCTTCCTAAGTCTGCTTTCAGACACCATCCTGTTGTCTTAATAGTTATTTTGCATCAGAGATACAGAAGAGAACAGGTAGCTGGAAAACAGAAATCAAGTTGAGCAGCAACAATAATGAAATGCACACTCTCTGAAATCATTCAACAGGAAGAGGTTTTCAGAAAATAACATCTACTACAGACAGTATTTTCTAAATTGAGTCTTTTAAAACATCATTTGCAGGAAGAAAGTCACAGCTGGTGATAGCAGAGCAGGTTCAAACAAATCTACTGTAACTTTAAGGTTCCCTCATTACAAAAGTAAAACATGCTATGAATGTGGTAAGCTTAAAACCAAGAAAACAAACCAGAAAGTTGCTAAAACACGTTTCTGAGAGAACCAGTGTAAGTACCTTCGGTCTTGCTCTCCACAGAAGAGCACAGATATGTACAGATCACAGATTCATAGAATGGCCTGGGTTGCAAGGTTCATCTAGTTCCAACCCTCCTGCTCGACACTTTTAACTAGACCATGTGGCTCAGAGCTCCATCCAGCCTGGCCTTAAACACTTCCAAGGATGGGGCATTGCAACTTCTCTGGGCAACCTGTTCCACTACCCTTCCACCTTCACAGTAAAGAACTTTTTCCTAATATCCAATCTAAACCTGCTCTCTTTTAGTTTGAAGCCATTCCCACTTGTCCTGTCACTACATGCTCCTGTAAATAGTCTCAATATTTCTTGTAGGCTCCCTTCAGGTACTGGAAGGAAGAGCAGGTAGTTTTATTTAACCACACAAGGAAGAAGCACAAGGTAAAAACCCGACCATATGATTATGATCTTGCTCAGGAATTGCTCGTCTCACTCTTGCCACTACACACACCATCACCAAGGGAAAATGGTATCAGAGCTATTGGCTCAACACAGACAAGGTTTCCCCTAGGGAAGAGTCTGGACCATAAGTAAGTACTGAAAGTAGAAAGTGCAATTAGAAGTTTTAAAAGGCAGTAATTACCACTTCAAATTGCTCTGTGTTTTGTAAAACATGTCTCAGCAAAAACTGTGGTAAAGGGCAACCAGGATAAAAGGAAGAACTAAGAAACAAAACTGGTATTTTAATGGGCTTCTATCATGGGCAGTCTGCTAAACAAAAAAATGCCAACAAAACCAAAATTAAAAAAAATCCCAACAAATAACTGACCAACTCTGTTAAACATAAGCTTCAAAAGAGAGCAATATGGTAGGAGATCAATAAAAATGAACAAAGTGCAGACCAGTTAAAGCCCTCTTGTGCAATCATGTTGCCAGATAATAGGCATATATTGAGTCAAGCAATGGGATAGCTTCTACCCCACACCTTTGAGGCTACCTCTAACTAGCGCTGCATCATGCCAGAGCAGAGAAACCAGAAATCATTGGTGGCCAAGAGGTCCCTGCCGTTCCTCAGAAAGAGTCATGTTCACATGGTTTATCCTATTTGTTTACTGACCCAAACATCCTTGATCCTATTTGCTTCCAGGCAAGAATAAACAAATAGATTAGATTAAATAAAAGCCACATCAATAAAAAAGATAAAGCATTGTAAAGAGAGTAGAAAAAAACCCACCTCTATGCATTAAAAAAAGTTTTATTTTTAACAATAGTCCCATAAGCTACAGGAAGATGGTCCATGACAATCTTCTGAGATAAAATTCATGTTCTAAAAGTAGTTTAAACACCTCAAATTCAGTAACATGCCACAGTACATAATTTGGGGATGTAAGTTTCATCTATCGCATGCCCATATGCAACTAAATTAAAAGAAAAATTGAAAAAGGACTACATACAGCTATCCACTCAGGCTCCAGTCACCTGCAAGCAAGAACAGTACATGCTTTGCAAGTACCTTTTCAGTATTCCAGTGACCACGTAAGAACTATGGATTTTAGGTAGGGAAGATGCAAGTAAGAAGGCTTCAGTCTTCTCATCCTGCTCTAGTTTTTAGACACTAAGGGTGAGGTTCATCTCACCTAACTTTGGACAGCTGCTGGTGCAGGCACTTGGACATGAGCTGGGAACCCCAGGTTTCCTTCAGAGCCAACAGACAGAAATGGTATTTCTAGGGCACAGTTCCCCTCCCCAGTTTTAGGCTCCTGTGCTACAATAGGTTGAGTCATGCCCTAAAACCACCTATTTCTCTGCATTGACTATAAAAGGGGAGAGGCGTTGGGGTGTTCATTTCTGATGTAGGCAACTGTGTCCCACACACACTCATCAGCAAAATAATTTATTTCTAATACAAAGGTGGTTCTGCATGCACTAACCAAAAGGTAGAGTGCAAACTACCCCAAAGCTTTAAAAAGTCCCAAATTAGAGTGGATAAATCAGCAATGATTTTCAAGAAATTGACACAGAGATCCATAGAAGAATAATTTGTGTATTTTTTCCTTTTGCCTACTTCTGCTGTTTCATCTTTCTTATGTAAAATATAGTTAAAATATGACACCCTAGCTCTGCCAAAGCTTTGACTTCAGCCCATCTTCCATATCTGCTGGATACATAAAGGAGTTGAGCTACTGCTGAAACCTTCCCAAATCTCAGACACCAAATTTCTTGCTGTAGTTTATCTACAAACCTGTCCTGTAGACTGATCTTAAACAATTCAGAGGAGTGCAAAGCTTCATACAGATGCTGAAGGCCCTGGAAAATTCCATGAGCAGGTCCCTGAAAGCACTGGTCATGCTCCATAACCCCCTGAAAACTGAACCCTCTCCTCCTCCAGGGCCAAAAACAACAATCTTCCTTCCTGCTCTCAAATTCTTCCAGTGTGTTTGACATGCTGACAAGGTGTTTCTTTTTTTCTCTGAGAATTGTCTCATCAGCTGTCACCAACTGATAGAAGATCAAAACACCATTCTGGTTGTGGAAATGGCAAATAAGGAAGGAGACTTCTTCTGCTCTGGAACTGTCTTCTCATACTACCAGTCTTCTACGGAAGATAAGTTGTCCCAGGAATGCGATGACTAGCTTCTAACTGGTGTGGAATCAATTTTGTGCAAGTGAGAGATGGGTGGGAAAAAACGCATGTAATAGAGAGGAGAAGGGAAAAGCTCCATGGAAAAAAAAAAAAAGAGAAAGAAACTTCAGGGGAAAAAAAAAAATCTGTCTTTTTAACCAAACGACAGAATTCAGACTCACAATGCAGATGGCTATTTATTAAAAGAGAAAACAAAAACAAAACAATGCAAAAGCTAAACAAAACTAGGTGAAGTGACCTTAGTGACTAGAAAATGGCCTCCAGTCTTCTCTTGCTGAAGGTTCCTATGTGGAGGCAGAGGCAGCCTCTTGGCTTTAAAGGCATTCCCATGGTCAGCATCTGAGGGATGCTGCAGGCAGGTATATGCTGCTTGTTTTCCTGGGGAGACAACCTCATTACAGATTTCACAATTTTCCTTAAAGTCTTCATAAAACTGCAAGTGGATAAGGGAGGGAACTTTCTGCAGAAGCTGGAAATAGCCAGAAAATTAAGACATTGGTCTTGACCAGGTGACAAGGTTTCAGAAAGCCCATGGCGACACCGGGGAATGTGGAAGAGCAAACTGAAGCATGAGATGATGGTGCAGAAGTCATGGCCCAACCTAAGGGCTTGGACCTCTCTTCCGCAGAAGAAGGGAAGAGAGAAGCATCTCTCAGAGATACAAAAGGGGTCTGCAGGCACTGGTTACTACACCCATCAGAGCCACTTGAGAGAGCACGTCCTGGCAAAGAGCAGTCATGCTGGGAACCCTGTTACCAACTTAATGGTTGTAATGATTCAGCTTGTCCCTGGTACCATTTAAAGCTTCCTATTATGGATCTAGACACTCTGGCTGCTTTTATTCAACATTTTAAATTAAGAATGTCTTGATCGAATATCACATTAGCTGTAAGTCCACAAAGGACTAAATGAAAAGACGTTGACAGAAAAAGCTGCAGACAGGAAGAGAAGTAGGTTTAGGGAGCAGCACTGACTCAGCTAAAGCCTGTACAAGCTCCTGGACAGTTTTATCTGTGCAGTTTCTCCCTCTCTCCCACTCTCTCAACAAAAATATAACCCAATCAAAGCAAAACAAAACAAAGAAAAAAACAAAAACACAGAAAGGAGGAAAAATAGCAAACCCTCTATTTTAACCAGATCTCTGCCTGTAGCAGAAGCCAGACAGGTTATCAGTCGCCTTAGCCCAAGCCACTTGTTCCCTTCTCAAAATTACGAGGATATTTTCTTCCTGTTTCTTCCTCACCATACATCTACCATGTGATAAAGGAACCCCTCAAGAAAAAAAAAAATCATTCTGTTCTAAACTGCAAAGGATAAAGCTGATAAGAGCAAGCCCTTCCCGTTCACACGGGTCCATGTGATTGAGCCCCTCCCATTGCCATTTGCCACTGAATGCTGAATGCTTACATTTGCAAATGGACTGTTCATAATTTACTGTTGTTTAACCAAGACTTAAAAAAAAAATTAAACAAAATAGCCATGAATTATGACTTCCCTGAAATACTGAGCATAGCTGCCATTTAGACCCTGAACCTCTCCCCGCAGCTGTTCCATGTCCCAACAGCTCTTGGCACAATTGAGCTCCAGGCAAAGCTTTGTCAAGAAGAAAAGTACCAAACTTCTTGCAATGACAGCTTGCGATGATGTGGGGGCATCACAAAAATAATTATCCAAAGATCAGTTAAATTACACCTCTGTGTAAATGTCACCTTTTGTATACCGATGAAAATCAAAAAAAATGCTTTTGCCCAACAGAGAGCACTTACAGAGCTAAAACTTTTGAAAAGTACACATTATGTTATCCATCCTTAAATACACTTAATCTATCCAGAATTTAAAAACATCCAGAGCAGCAACAGCTCCTATGTGGTAAGAAGCAGATCCATCAAGTATAAGCAAGAAGCAGGCTTTTCAGGCTAATGTTGTACTATGAATCCTTGTCCAAACTAAATCTTGCTCCAGCTTCCCAGGTCTTTACTCCTGCAGGGAGTCTTTACTCCTGCAGTCTTTGCAGGACTCCTCTTCTACAACTGAGTATTCCAGATCTAACTAACTGCACCTTTGATATCTGAACTAAGTCAACCCAGTGATTTAAGAGGAGCTTGCATCTGACAGTTTGCAGTGATAGACTTTCTGCTATGTACTCGCTACCTTTGATTTCATCACCTTTAAGCGTATGCTACAGGATGTCTTCTTGCCTTAGGCTTCTCTGGAGCAGAATTTAGTAGGGTTATGAGATAAAAATCACGATGGAGTTTGTTCCAAAGCTGAAGAAAGTTCTGTTAAGGGAGGTTTTACTGTCCTTTTGAGTGCTCTTTAGTATTTTTATAGTTTTTCAGGTGCGCATCTGAAGAAACTGCAAGAGGCAGAACACATGGCTAAACTGAAAAAAAAAACATGTCTGCTCGCACTGCCCCCCCCCCCAGGAACTACACTACTGAAGTAACCCTTCCCATCTCAATTCTCCCCTCTCCCATTGGCTTGTAAAGTAAAGACAGCAATGAACAACCAACAGAGGTAATAAGTAAGGCTCGTTTTCGACTACACTTGTGCAATTCCCATATCTAAATCCCCAGGCTACCACAAGCTCTGGAAAAATACAGGGAAGGAAGTTACATTACTAATTCCACCCAAAACTGAGTTAGCACTTCAGACAGACAACACTCAGTTCATTGAAATGATCGCATGACTCTGACAGCAGAAACAGGCCATTGACCCAGCCAGATATTAGGCCATACAGAAAAACAGAGACAAGATTATAAAGCCCAAAATACTTTTTTTTAAACAGAGGAGAATAAATGCTTTTCACATTACAAAAAGAGGAACAGTTTGTCATGGCACTTCTCAGCCTTTTAAGAACTGTTTCTCCACAGTACCCAGACACCTAATTTCTTGTAAATAAATGTAAAATCTACTATTAACTACCAGCTACAGAGGAGGCACCTGATTTTTACAATAGGAATCTGACACTGAAGCTTCAGGGCTTAGGATGTGGTTTAAATGATCAATATCTAACTAAGAGACTACTCAGGTAGAAACAGGCATATTTTCTCTGCAGTGTGAAAAAAAAACAATTTAAATTACATTCAAGCTTATTTCTGAATAGTTGATATACAATAACACAATTTAGAAACCAATCTGTAAATAACAGCAAGCAGGTACATACTGTCCCTTGCAGTCATCTATAGTGTGACCATTACTTTTATTCAGAATTTTATTCTAGCATACTAGAGAAGTTGAAACTACTGTAAAATATCAGAATTTGGGAAATTCTACATCACACACATGGATTCTACTGGCACAGATCAGCAAAACAGAAAAAAACTTTTTTGGAGGAGCATGTCTCTCCAATACTGGAGAAGTTATAGCATTTCAACCAATTTCTGTTCTGCCCGTGCAAGTTACAGGAAGCAACCGGAAGCTTTTGAAACAGCACAAAGATCTGCTGCAACAATAATGACCTCAATGTTTCCTTTTTGTGTTTTACACCACACTTTTTCCTCATGTTTAACAATACTCTTAGCACTGACTTGTACAAATATGGTTTCTTACACCGTCTCATACCTGCTGCTCATCCTCCATGACGTTGCTGGCAAATTCAAACACAAGCTCATTCTGCTGTACAACTGCTGCCATAATAACGCATTCCCAGGTCTCAGCTCCACATACAAAGAAAAATGTTCTCAAACGCAAAAGAAGGGAGAGCGTCACCGAGGTCCAGCTGAGCAGAAAGGCAGGATCACAAAACAAATTGAGTATCAGTGTTTGTATTTCTTAGATCATCAGTGTTCCTGGGTTCTTCTCTTCTCAAAGTGAAACAAACCAAGGCAAATCCTTTCCTGAGTTATTCTTCCCACCTCAACAGCCTTTGTCACTGCAGAGAGAAGAATAAAAAAATTATCATTAAAAAATTATTACTTTAGCTATGCAAAATAGTAGCAGTTGCAATAAAGCAATAAAACTGTTCTATCTAAGTCCAAGGAAGTCAAACAGTTCTGGGTCTCCAAGGGTATTAGTTTAACTGATTAACATATGTGAATTTTAATTCCCTGAAACAAATTTTCATTCCTGAAACAAAACCATTTCAGGAAGTAAGACATCAGTTTCAAAGTGTTTCGTATTAAAGGCATGCAACTAAGGAAAAGTGACAGAAGTTAACAAAAAGAAAATCCATGTTTTCATTTGATTCATATTTGCAGTTTTCACATTCATTAGTACCTCTCATCTTTACAGTTTATTCAAAGTAAAAATACAAACCCCAGACTGACCTACTCGACTGTAGATATCTCAAGTACATCACCTTTCTTCTTCACACACAGTTCAAATTTAGCAAAGTTGTTATTTTGCAAGTAAAGTGCTCTAGATCTTTCCCAGTGTGAAAATGACAAAACCAGTAAATAAATTCTTTGTACAATCCAGAGAGTCCCCAAGTTCCTACATGAAGCAGATCTTCAGCTTCATGTTAAAAATGCGCTGTACACGTACCCTTATCTCTACCACAGGCTCGCAAGCAGCCGGAAGGAAACAGCACTGACCACGTCATGGCAAATTAGAACAGGCAAAAAAACTGCACAGTACAAAGCAAAAAAAAAAATTCCCAAACTACAGAATGTAAACAGCTTCAGTGAAGGGATATGTGCCTACAGATCCCATGTTTTCACTTACTCATCAGCACCAAAGGTAAACATGGTGAACGTGAGCTTAGGAGGAGGTTGTGCTGCTCCACTCCTGGGGAAAAAGGCCAATGCAAAACCTCATCTTTGTATACAACCATGGTGACCCATACGTTAACAAAAAAATCTACCATTTCAAAAGGATAACAGGACCAGGTGTCTAAAATTAGGAACCTAAGAGAGTATGTTAGTGCCTAGGAATTTAAATCCATGTATTTTAAAGGAAGCAAAATGTGTGGTTCCTAGCATTTTGAGCAAAATTCTTTACACTGCCTTTGATTAGGGGAACTGTGACAGAAGATTTAGGGGCAGAGGTTTGCCTAACACAAACCCATCCAGAGTGAGACCCCCCAAAAAAGCCTCTGGGCAACTTCAGTGCCATTGGCAAGGATCAGCATCTGCCTTTGTACAGGAGGTTTAACTTGGCCTTTTTTTTGCAGTAGGCTGAAACTCAAAAAAATGAAGGGCATCTTCCTCTCCCCAGTGCCAAGCAATTTAATTAGGGAGGATCATGTCAGAGACTCATACTCCTTCACTCTAGGAAATGTAACAGCTGTTTTTCCTATACAGTTTGTGGTATTCCCAAATTCCTAAGTAGTGATGGCAGAGCATTCAAGCATTTAAGTCACTAGACCCTACCCTTCTAAGAAATCAGGAAACCCAAGATTATGCAAACAGGAGAACTTCCTCAACTTCCAAAGTGTGCTCTAACTGTGAAAGGGCTCATAAGAGTAGCCACAACCCTGACTAGAGAATATTTGCTTTAATGAGAGCCACATGCATGAACAGAGAAGGATGTGCTGTAGGAACCATGACTATTCAACCTCAGCCCTTGTCATTTTGCTGGTTGACTTGAACAATTAACACGGCTTTCTCTATGCTTCAGCAGGGTTATTGCACTACATGCAACCATATAATCTTGGGTGACTTTCCCAAATGCAATTATCTGGCCTTGCCTTTTAGAAAATAAGAACAGTTAGGAAGATACACACACATTGCCTGCACAGTGGGACTGAGCCCAACTTGGCCTATCCTAGAGTCTTACCATCCTATATTCCAGCCTGAAAATAAAGTACATAACTATATAATATATAGTTTAATATTTCCTACAGACAGTGATTGAAGTGGGTCAATCTATGTCAACGGGGACATACCAGCTCTTTCAGAGGAGAGAACAGGTATGGAAACTTATTGAAGTACAACTTCTATTTTGATTACTGCTTAGAAATAAATTGTAACTCTCCAATAAGATTAAATAATATTTTAAGTCACTCCCTCTAATCAGTGGGACTGATTCATTCTAGAGGATCACAAGGCAAATACAAGAATCTTCTCCATTACCAAATGGAACTTATTTTTAAATTAGGGTTAAGCTAATTGTCCAGGGACAATGAGAGCCAGAATACTGCAAGGGCTTATAATCATGGCCATTACACTAACTGAAGCCACATATATGAACAAGGAGTACAAGTTCTTAGGATCCAGTAATTTTCTAAGGTCAGTAACAATTAACAGCATCAATGTAAAATCAGGATAAATGACAAGTTAGAGACATAGGTTCTCTAGCAATCTCATGAGGTATAAGGAAAACTGGAGGTGAAGCCACTCTAAGATAGATTTTTAAAGTTCCCCATGTGCAATGACAAATAACATTTTCTTCCGTTAGTGCCAGGTTATTTGTTATTCTGTAAAATATTAATATTTTACAGTAGATACTACAATACCAAGATGCACACTAAATGCATAAGATCCAAAAGCTGTGGCAGCAAACTTACTAAAAGCCATAAAGAAACATTTCCTTACTTTATTTTAAAAAAAAAGAAATAATAAAACCTCCAGTGCAAATCTAAACATAATAATTTAATACCATTTAAGAGATTGCAGCAGCATAATGCATTTGATCCACACAAACACCACTTAAACCAGTCACATTTCATGCTAACAAGAAGTTCCTAATCATCTGATACCACTGCAGGAACAGGCATTCAAAAGCTGTTTTACGAATCCTGCCCCACGGTGATGTAGTGATGTAAGTATACTCCTTCTCCCCTACACCCCCTCCCCAAAGCCACCAAGGACTCTATAAATAAAATCAAATGATACATTCTTCTTACACAAAAAGAAACATCTAACCTCAATCTTAGGACCAAAGACAAAGAGAAGTGATTGAATAGGCTTTAGTAAGCTTTTATATCTAACCTTATAAAGATTAGGGACTCAAACTATTATTATTTGCAGGATATTTTTCATTACTTCTGTAGTAGTACATAACAACAGCAAAAGATCTATTGGGCAATAATGGTATGGCAAAATAATGCAAAAGTACTTTCCTTTAACCCGTATCCTTTTCTCCGTCATATAGAAAACAAGAGCAGCTTTTCACAGAAGCCAGCAGAATTCTAAAACAGCTATATTTTCCTCCACATCTATTCTTATAAACTGTGCTTTCATTATTCCAACTATCACAGGATCCTGCTGTCTATAGGCTAACACAAACATGGCTATTGTTTTTGCTAAATAATGCCACTTATCTGATTTTACATACATCTGTGAGTAGAAAATAAGTTATTTGCAAACAGCATAAAAGGTGTAAATTGTATTCACATGCACAGTAAGCTTGACTACATACAAATAATCCTAGGAGAAAGGGAACTCTGTATATATTACCATAAAATTTAAATCAAATTTTCAGAACTATAGAGGAAGTAAGGTTTTGCTTTCATTTTTACTACTTGTTGTAAAAATATATTATAAAAAGGAGTATTAAGACACCACAATATAAACAAACATCTTAATTTTACTTAATCTTTGAAACTGAACTCAAAAATAAATTATTTCAATTTCTCTGGAAATTCCCTTCATCCACTGATTTCAACATCTAGAAACAAGCTCCTCAGTCAGTCTGTCAAAAAGCACATTCACTCAATTTAACCCTCGGTACATGCTACTCTGGTATCCCAGAACACACATTGCAGTATTCCTTTCAGCTAGACATCATAACTTTTTTTCCATCACTCTTCCCCATATATACCCTGCACTTAATCCTAGCCCTGTTGAGCCACTAGCTCAGAAGCTTGTAAGAAGTGCTTCCAGAATCAACATTTTTGGTCACAATGGTGAAGCTGCAATACCGAAACTAGGTTCCAACTCTGAGGTAACAAAGCCATCATTTCTCCTTTAACTCCTGAGCCAATACAGCCCACTGTGACAATATGAGCCAGTATAGCCCATACTACCTCAGCATTCAAGCCCTGTAATGCAGAACACTGGAATTTAACATAGTGGCACCACACCGGAGCAGGTGTAGCAGTTACTAAAGTACCAGGCACAAACCCAAAAATTTGCTGAAGAATCTCAGCTATGAACTTGGAAGGCTCACATCTTGGTACTGAGAGCATCCTGGCTGGGCTGAAAGATGTCTCCAGCAAGCTACTGGATCCAGTCCCACTTAGGGTTACTAAAGATGACTGTAATCATCCCGGACTGCCTTTTTCATGAGATTAGTAAGATCATTCATACATTTGAAATAAGAACCAGCTTAGCTGCCTTAAGATTCAAATGTAGATCTGAATCCTGAGTTACTGATGAAACATCTCAAGTCATTCAGCACAAGGACAAATGGTTTGAGATTGGAATTTCCCCTTGGATTTCCTGAGACAGTCTGCAGCACTAGCTCTAGCCTAGAAATATCAAAGTTGTGACTTAACAGAAATACAAAGCTGAACTCCCTTCTCAACACCATCCTGGATGCAGAAGGAAGAGAGGAGTGAATGAGAGAAAAGGGAAGATTAAAGACATCACCTGGAAATTCTGAACAGAAGGACTGAAAACCATCTCAGGTGAGGTCAGACAAACACATGGATGGTAACCACATCATTTCACTCAAGTTTCTAACTCCATTCTACCAATGGAGGTTAAGGATGGATCAACCCAGAGTCAGTCCACCCTCTTCAGAGTCACATCTCTAAGTATCATCGTAGAGTCAGGGGGGCAAAGCTGAATGATATCGCAGTTCTCTGAATACAGAAGTCCCAAACCCACAATGATCTTTATGTATAGTCCACACTAAGCACAAATGTTAACAGTATAGTCTACTGTGCCATTCTTCATGGACTAATTATTCCTATTCAGTAATATTATGAAATTGCACAGGACAGGGGCTTTGAACCATGTTCTCAGACATCTTCAGTCGGCAAAATGA